CGGTCTCTCGCCCGCGGGCTGGTCTGGTCATTTGCCCGCCCGATGTCGATACCCGAGCCGAGTGCGGGGGCGTGTTCGTGTTGTTTTAGTTTCTTTCTTCTCTTCGCTGGGCCCGGTCGCTGAAACTAACCAGCAGGCGGGCGAGCGGCTCGGCCAGCAGAGGAGAGCAGCCCACTCGGCGCCTCGCTCGCGTCTGATGAAGTTGTGAGTCGTCCCCGGGGAGCGCTTCGCCCGGCCCGAGTCGCCGCCGTGTGCGCGCGGCGGGCGGGGCGGCGACCCGGCGGCCCGCAGACTACACCCTGCGACACCGCGAGAGTGAACCGGGCCGCCGAGCGGTGGCGCCAGGGCCGTCAGCGGCGGCGACCGACGGCTAGCCCTATCCTCTCGATGGTGTGGCCGTTTCCCAACCCATTACTAGAGCGGTCAGAGTTTTTCCGTTCTTCCCCCTCCCCATCCCCCCCACCCACTCCCCGCCTTTCGCGCAGACGGCCGTATCCGCTCTCGATTTGACCTCGGCGTCGGCGTGCCCCCCAGTCCCGCCCCGCCCTGCCCAGCTCGGCACCCAGCTCACCCCGGCCCTTGCTAACCCGCACGCCCGACACAGCTCAGCCGGCTGACGTCTTGGCGTGTGGCTTAGTTATTTTCCACAAGACGATGGAAACTTTCAACTAGAAAATAATCAATACACGATCCTCTCTCAAACTGTTTCTTTGCCCCTTTTCCTCTTTTGTCGGTGCGACGAGGGCCGGCCAATAAACGCGGATAGAAAGAGGCGCGGCGATACGTCGCGACCAATTAATTCCGCCAAACTCATCGGCGGGGCCGTGGCCGGGGACAGCGCGCCGCGCAGAGAGGGAAGATTTGATTCAGGAGGGGAAATCGAATTTTAGCGCGCGCCGCCGCCCGGCCACAGCGCCTGTCGCTGGGCGGGGAGGGGAAGGAGGGGGGAGATCCACGTCTCATCTTGCGGGACAGCTTGCGTGGATGAGAGAGAGAGAGAGAGGCGAGCGAGGAAACGGAAGAGAGGGGGAGTGAGAGAGAAGGGGGGCTTCTGCGCCTGACGGCGCGGTGGCGTGAGGCGAGCAGGAAGAGATGGGCGAGGAGAGCAGAGAGGAGGGGTTCGCGTGGAATTAGGGGATGCTGTCTGGAGCGGCTCTATCGGCCG